TATTTTTAGCAGTGTTCAAGTCATGGCCTCTATACAGCCCGCTTGAAGCAGCTTCCAAAATCGAAAATCGGACTCGATTCCTCGATCTTTTTAAAGTTTTGGGATCGAGGCCTCGAGTCTTTTTGTCGTCGATCTTGCCCTGGCCTAATTTTGATATTCTGTTTTGGTGAAGACTACTATTTTTATTAAAGATTAGACACAGAGCTCTTTAATACAGCAGTCTGAAAGTTAAAAACAAATAACAGTTCTTTTTATAGTTTAACATTTTTTTTTCTAATTTGTCAACACAGTTCTGAAAAAGAAGATTGTGGAATGTTTGAAGGTACTTTAAAGAACTGGGATATTAATATTTTAAAAAGAAATATGAGCCAATGTTATGTGAGTATTCAAGAATGAGTTTCAGGTAGCGCTGTCTTTACTTTGTCTTCATCCTTGTGTTTTGGAAGATTATATTTTTTTGGGTCTTTTCTTTCTTTTTTTTTTCTAAGAAAATTTAACATTTCATTTTGATGTTTTGTTCTCATTCCAGATTGATTTGGAAAAGAAGGCAGAGAGAGAAGCATTGAAACAAAAAGTAAAGGAGGAGAAAGAAAAAGCAAGAGAAGAACGGAAAAAAAAACTAGACGAAGAGAAGGCAAAAAAAGAACTTGAACGGAAGGAGAAAAAGGCATGTTGTTGTTATCAATTTAGAAGAGAAAATGGTACAACTTGCTACATAAATATTTGTTGTTTAGCTTTGTTACCAAACTTCAAGTTGCCTGACTGACAGTCACTTTTAAGAAAATCTTTTAATGCTGGTACAAGTAAATAACCTTGTTTCCTTGCAAAGAATTGAAATCTTGAAATCTCTTTTCCTTTCTACATGTAAGAAGTTATTTGTTATATATATTTAATTGAATACCCCAGATTTTCATCTGTGTTCTACTTATTCTGAACTCTAAATATCTGAAATGGATGAAGGCTGAGTTGTTTCTATTCAGTAATGAGAGTTGGGTACCCTTTATGTAGGCTTAAACCCCCCCCCCATTTTTATTGTTTGTGTGTATGCTTACCTAGGAATATTTAACAAGAGTTTCCTCAACACTACTCAGATATCTCATATCTTGTCTTTGCTTTGTAGAGGGGAATGTGGTAGAAACAATTTTATTTTAAGTTTCTTATTTTATCAATTGGCAGATCATATCAGATGTTTTTTCCATATATCATTTAAGTTCCAATGCACTTGTTTTCCCCTCACAGGAAGCAAAGGATAAGGAAAAACAAGAGCAAAAGGAAAAGTTAGAGAAGGAGCGACTAGAAAAGCTGAAAGTCAAAGAAGATGAAAAAAAGCAGAAGGAAGAGGAACGATTGAAGAAAGAGGAGGAGAAAAAGAAAATCATAGAGTGAGTACTTTCATGACCTTTGGCATTGATAAATTTTGAAAAGACATTTTTTTTTCTGTTGAAATTTGATATGGTCAGCTTGGGGACAGAGCTATAGAGAGTTAATGTTTATGTTTTTGATTTCTTAACCCTCGTCCTGCGGGAGCCGGTTTTGTGTCGCCCGATAAGCCTATTTTGGCACCTCGCCTACGTTCTGGTCCCGATTCAGTGTAGCCCCTGGCTCAGCGCACACGCACTGCGCATCATCTTCCGTGTCATTCGGGTCCCGAGTCGGATCCCCATTCACGCAGGTCAAGTGTGTGTGCGTCAGTCTGCTTGAGTTTGTGTGCGTTTGTGGCCTTCTTCTAGAACCGCCTGCGTTGGTTCGTAATCGAGGCATGCGTCTCATTCAAAACATGCCAAGTTGGTAGCTCTAGATGTTCGTCCAATGAAATTATAGAAGAAACTGACCCACTTAGACATGAGGAGCCCGAAAGGATAGTCGGGAAACAAGACTTCCATTTTTCTATACAAAATCTTTCAAATGAGCTTGATTTTGTATGAAATGATACTACCTGGTAAAAAATAAGCTTATTTGATAGTTTTGAATACCATTGTGCAGGTACAAAGAACAATTTGAGTGTAAAACATTAGGAAATTGACCTATATTATCCCCTTTCGAACCTCAGGTCATTCATAATGACAAGAGCGCCCAGAAAGGTTATTCGAATGAGCGGAACTACTCGTATTGTCTTATCAGCTTGTGAGAGGGGGTTATTCATTTGTTTGTAACACTTTATAAATAGAAAGCTATGAAAGATAGAGCGTTATTTTCATCATCGGTAAACACACTCCCGTGGTATTCATGGCGAAAACACACGTTTCCCGGCGTGCGCGCTGTACACCAACAGTACACACTGAATGACTCTGACGGCCTGCCCTTGCTGATAAGATTCGCATCTCGGCACAGACACAGGACAAGAGTTAATATTAGGTATTTATTTGTAAGAAGTTTATTCTCAAAAAACAAAACACAGCATAATCGTTGCTGGTTGTGGTAAAAGTATTTTTCATCATAGATCAGAATGAATTTATCTTTGTTATCCTTAAACTCTTATTTTTCTCTTCATTGGTCCCCAAATAAAGATGATGATCTGAAGCATGAGGGAGTATGCATTGAAATGTTTATGTCTTCTGTTCTATTTATTATTTCCCTTCCGCAGTTTAATACATTTTTAACTTTTTAGTGTATGTGTGCTTTTGATACAGGGCCAAGCAAGAAGAAAAGCGCAAGAAGGAGGAGGAAAAGCGATTAAAAGAGGAAGAGAAGTTGCGAGAGGAGGAGGAAAAGGTTTGTTCTTGTTAGTGTTGAACGTAACTTGCCTACCTTATACAGCTTACTCCTTTATAAATATTTGTGAAATTGCTTTGTTATTGTTTTAAATATCCCTTCCCACCTCACCCCCTTAAAAAATCTTTTGCCTTTGTGAGAGGGTTAAGTTATGAACTTTTCATTATAGTTATGTTCTGGGTGACATCCTTGATTTTGCAGATTTTGGGTCAGGCTATGCACATTTTATGTTGGCTGATTTTTGAAGATCAACCAGTTTTTTGTCTAAAAATAGCATGGATTCAATTGAGAAAGACTTTATTCTACAGGTAATTTGCCTGTAAAAACATGAGGATGGATTAATATAGTGAATTTTCACAATTATTGTCGTTTTTCACAAAATGTAATTTTTGTGCAGTTTTTTCCCCTACTCCTTCCTTAGTTTTCATCCTTTTGACATGAAACGTTCAGGAAACATAGTTGGCAAGGCTGCCATCAATGTAACAGAAAGATATTTGCGAAAAAAGTAATACTTTTCCTTTGGCAAGCGATTACGCAACCTAAATTTAGAAAAAGTTTTTTAATACTTTGGGAAAATTCTCATAATTATTTTTCTTTTGAACGTATTGAAAAAAACTTGCTGTTACTCTGATAGGGTTTGGTTTTGGTATACTCTTGCCAAATTTGGTCTGTAAATAAGAAAGCCGTAGGGATTTCAAATTCAGTGTTTAGTTTCAAGATGGCAGCCGTTTCCGTAGCAACCGTTGTAGCTATGCCAAAATAAAATTGCGTATCAAGAGATTTTACTATGTCTAATTTATATGTGTACTTAGATTTGATCTCGGGCTACAAACAGAAAATAGTCCTCAAGGGTAGCTCCTCCCGTTAATGTGCTTATTTACTATTCATCACACAGGTGTCAGTTTTTCTATGATTAAGACAAAGGTTTTATGTTATAGTATAGCAACATTTGACGATTTAGACTTTTGTTCCATTATAATGAATTGAAGATTCAGCTTTTTAAAATTGAACCATGTTTTGTTTTGATTAAATTATTTAATCTTTTAGATTTATAAAGGTGGGGACAATATTTGTTTGATGATTTTTGATATTCATTTTGTGTGAATCAAGATCTGTAAATATTCTCTCTATCAAAATTCCTATGTGCAATCTTTTTTTTAAAACAGAAAAAGCAAGCTGAGAAGAGAAAGCAAGCCTTTCAAAGTTTCTTCATCAAGCCTAAAGAATCAGAACCTAAACCTGCGGTAAGGAAAGTCTTTTATTCATATGTACTCTCTTAGCTTGAAGATGTTAATGAATTTAATGGTTTATTAGTGGGAGTCTTTGTGTTAATCCAGTTTTCTAGTCAGTTACCATATATGTGAAGCGTGCTGACAAAATGAGTTCCTTCTCGGATTCGAGTCCTATAGAAATAGATATATCACGCTTAGAGGTGAAGTTTTTACAATATATAAGTATGAAATAATATAAGGCATTTTATACTTTAAAAATATGGCATCAATAGAAAATCTACAAATTTGACCCCAGTGTCGATTTCTAGCCAAGTTCTTCATTTATGGATTGCGAGAAGTAACTCATTTTGTCAGCATGTCTCACATATATGTGAATAGCTGACTCTCTCTCAGCATACTGTGGTCGTCTACTTTGTCATAGACAGTCTAGCTTCCAGGATTGCTGATCCTGACTCAAAGGGATTTTGAAGTCTTGCCTGAAAGGGGTGCTCTCAATTGAGATAAGTTCAATAGTTACCTAAGGGAACAATTAAGCTCTACTACCAGGTTTCTAGGTGCAGAAGTGTCCCAACTTAGAGCCATAGATAAAATGATTTTAAAAGGTACTACATAATTGTATGTATTAATTTCCGAGGGTTTCTTCTCCTTTCCTCTCTTGTAAGTTCTGTGGTAAGGTTCTACTGAACATTGTTTAAGCAATGTTTTTGTCTTATATTCGTATTGCAGGTTTGCACATTGTTTAAGAAATGTTTTTGTCTTACATTCTTTTTCTTATTGCAGGTTTCCAAGTCAAATGAAAGTATGTTCATTCCATTTGAAGTTAAAAAGGACATGCACCTTGCACCTGCAGTGAGAAATTCCCTCTCAAATGAGAAAAGAAATAAATTGGACCAACAGTTACAAACTGAACAGGTAATTTTGAATGTTGATTGGTAGTATTTAGTTTTATTTTTGATTTTATGCTCTTTAAAAAGATTGTACTTTTGAATTGCAGGTTGATATGGGACCTTCGGACTTTAATGTTCTGACTTTCTTTTTGATTAACTCTTCAAACAAAATGGGAGGTGTTTGTCACATATTATGGCATCCTGAAGAAAGTGTGTCATTTGCGCTTTGCTCAGCTGAACTTGAGAGATAGAAATAAGGAGGTCACTTTTCCAGGAATGTGTTTAAGCATGAATAGTTGCCATAAGTTAAGGGAGGTTGGCTTTTTTTTGGGGGTTGGTTTTTAAAAAATAATATTTTTAAACTTTACATCTGACAAGTGTTGTCTGTATTTTCAGCCGTCGTCAGTGAATTATCTCACCCAGCTGAAGGAGGGAGATATCAATCCTCACAAGACAGGCAGAGTTGTAAGGAAGTGAGTGACACTTGGCAGACAAGTGATGTGGGTTATAACTTGATTGATGCCTAATCATTTCTGACGTTTGTATTGAAGCTGTGGCTTAGATTTCTTTGAACTGTGTGTTCAGTGAAGAGTTCCTCTCATTATCATAATTTGATACCTACTCCCATCGTTTTTGTTTATAATCTTATAATAATCTATTTCTTTTTCTTTATCTCTGTCTGTCTGTCTGTCTGTCTTTCACTCCCCCCCCCCCCCCCCCCCCCCCATCCATTCCGTCTCTCCTCACCGTGTCCTTTTTCTTCATCCTGACCACTCCTACTTTTTCACCTTGATACATCTTTTTTATATCTATACCTCGTGTACAGGCAAAATTTGCATGGGAGTTATTTGAAACAGGTAATTTTGCCAGATTTTGGCCACATCTCTCTTTTTACCTTTTACAGAACTTCTGTTTCTATTTGAAAGCTTTTTTTTTCCTGTGACACAGTGTCAGTTGCTAATTTTTATTTCTAATTTTTACCTGTGTACTTAGTTTAGGAAACAAGTGAGCTAATGGTGATGGCACTTTTAAAAAAAAAACTATTCACCTTTTGATTTTTTAATAAAGTAATTGGTGCATGATTTCAGAAATCCAGAACCAGCGGAAGATGTTGAAATTGTGCACGACTCTGAGGCCTTGAAGAAGGTGTTCCACAAAGTGAAGATTTTGAAGTTTCACACAGACTACAGGCCACCATATCGTGGGACCTGGAGGAAGCGCCCCTCTCTCAGTCCGAGAAATCCGTGGAAGAAGGATGAGGTTTGCTTCTTTATGTTATGTTGATGCCATTGTCACTCGATGTGAAGAATATAAATGTTGTGTGAGTCTTTCATCTTGTCTTTAGAGTTGTTGGTAGTTTTTATGCTATTCTTTCTGGACGCTGTTAGGAATAAGTGAGGCACTGGTTCTCTGGGCATTTTTTCTTTCTTTCTTTCTTTTTGCATACTTCAGTATGTGTGTGTGTGTGCCAGTTAAATTTATCTGTCAGGACATGTGGATTTGACTGTATTCCTGCCAGGTACTCTAATAAAATCGGAGCCATTCGATTTTTTTTGGTTTGTTTTTCCCATTCTAGAATCCTGATTGGACTTATAAAAATCCAATATTTTTTCTTGAATTCCATTTCCGTCAGGACTTATGTGACATGGTAAATGACTTAAAAGCACACATTTTTGTTGGCACGACTTATTATATATATATATGTATATATTTATTTGCATTATTTGTATTTATTTGCCATGGTTGGTTTGTTACTTAATCATAATCAACTGGGGCTCTGAGACCAATTTTTTCCCCCCGAACTGTTATCGGTTGGAAGAATTTTGAGGGAAAAATACTTTTGGTCATAGTGTGGTTGACAGGTCTGTATATGAGGGATCTCGTATGAGAAAGTTTTGGTTCTAGTCTTATGTTAAGTGCCCATGGATTGGGAGGGGGGTGTACACTTTTAATGTTTTGTTATTATTAGTAATGAACATTTTTCTCATGGATATATGAAAACCTACTTGTCATATTTTATATGGCTCCTAGACCACTGTCCTTTTGCAGTATAATCTTATGTGTTATAATAACCATTTTTTTGGTTTCTTTCTGTGTTTTAGGCCACATTTGATTATGAGGTGGACAGTGATGAGGAGTGGGAGGAGGAAGAGCCTGGGGAAAGCCTGTCCTGCTCTGATGTATGTATTTCTCCAGTGTTTACACGTATTACGTTATACACGCTCCTTTTTTCCTATGAAACATCTATTGTTCTTATCCCGTTCTCCTTTTTTTATGTTTGTTGCTCTCTTGTAACACCTCTAATCTTCTGGTGCTCATATGACCTTTTATGCAGTTGCGAGCGCCGTAAAACCAATGTTATCCTGGGTGTCACTGATATCTTCATAAGGCCTCCCGAGTGCATCTTAATTTATATATTGACATATTTTGGTTGGACATTTTCCTACAGTTATCATTCGTGTTTGCTACTCAGTGAAGCCACAAGCCTTGACTTTCTATGAGCAGAAGTTCTTTGGTTTTATATATAAGCACTGTTGCGATCAGGTGGGGATGGAATATAACCTTTTCTTTGATGGATAAGGGTTCCGTTGTTATCACTTGTGTGGGTTTTTTTTTTCGTGATGTGTACTTTAAAAAAAAAAAAATTTTAAGCTCGATTTTAATTAACAAGCGCCTGATACCACTGTCATGAAACTTATGTCCCAAGTATGTTCCTCTTGGTGTTCTTGGTTTCTTAACAAGAACTTCCTACCTCTTGTAGATGTAGACTGACAATGACACTTATATTATATGACCTTATTGTGTTGCAAGTGCCGTAAAACACTTACTAAAACTAAAAGCTAAAATGACACTCACTTCTCATAGAAATCATTGTACGATTTACCTTTTTCCAGGGTGAAGAAGAGAAAGGGGAGGAAGCAGAAGATGAGGATGATGATGGCGATGGCTGGATGGTCCCTCATGGATATCTGTCTGAAGACGAAGGATGCAATGAGGATGATGAGGTGATTAAGCTTTTTTTCTTACATTTTGACATGATGTTTGTCATTCTGAACAAAATACTCTTTGTGGTATTCTCGCAGCACCACTGGAAGGTCGTACTTCTTTTAGATGTTTTAATGGTTATCTAGTTTTTCGCTAGCTCTCTAGTCTTGTCATTTTATATAGCTGTTTTGCTGTTTAACTCTGAACTGAACATTTTCATAAGTCTTGCGAATTTTCTTCAGAAAAAGATTTTCTGTGATTTTGGGGTGCAGTTTTTGGAGCATGGTCAATCATATTCTTATCAAATGAATATTTGCAGGGAACAATTTGAGAGCTTTTCTATGTTCTCAGGGCTGCACATCGTTATGAATTTGGCAGAATCATTACGATTAGAAATTTAAAAAAAAATAATCATAACAACCCTCATTCTGATTTTAAAAATTATTTCCCATTTGGCTAACCCAACCCATCCTCACCCTTCCAGTGTTTAAAGTAGAATAGTTTACTTCATCACTACATCACATGCAGCAGTGTAACTTAAACAGCTTCTTGTAGCAGCTCAGTGCCTCTTTGCTTTAAAAAAAAAAAACCCATTAGCTTGACAGCATAAATATTGTTGCGTTTTGCATTGTAGGTGATGAAGGCCTGGGAAAGAAAAAATTGTTAACCCCCCCCCCAACAAAAACCCCCTACCAAAAACGAATCATTGTTTGAAACAATCAGCTGCAGTGTGGGGCATGGTGTCTAACGATAATCAGCATCAAAGTCTTTTGATGCGTCCCATCCGTTTTTTGTTTTGTTTTTGCAAGAGTCAAGCTGACAGGCAATACCTACCGCCACTCCTGATTTTTTTTCCGTAACTCCACAAATGACAAGCCTATTAGGACCCTTTTCATTGCGCCTTTGTTTACGTTACATATGATTAATCTTTAAACCTACAACCCCTGTCCTTTACACTCGGGGGTAAAAAGACTATCTATATTATATTTCAAATTTTTAAGCCAAATTCCTAATTTTTAATTTGCTGTTTACTTTAATGTTTGCTGGTGGGTGGGCAGTCCTGTATCTTTTGTGAACAAATTCTCATGCGTACCATAATACACCGTTGTTTAGTACAAGGGTAACTTATGACAATGCAAACAAATTTACAGACTCTTTGAACATTGTGTCAATAAGCTGAGATTTAGGTGTTATAATTTACCAGAAAATCCTGATGGTTCTTTGATTGAAAAAAAAAAATTGTTCATTGTATGTAAAAAAAAAAAAAGGTTTATGTAAAAAGACTGCAAACCACTGTAAGATTGCTTTATAAGTTGTACAAGGGTTGTGTAAAGGCTACACAACACCCCTTCCCCCCCAATCAAATTTTTTCAGGATTGCAGTACCTCAACAGTGGCTAAAATGCTGAGCATAGTAAAATCAGGATCAGTATTCCAGTAAAGTTGGGAAAGTCTTTTGTGAAAAAATAAAATTGTTGAGGCACATAACCCCACACCACCACCACAGGATGCCTACTACAGCCTCGTGTATGCCTTGTTTGTTTCACAGATCACCCCAGAGAAGCTCAAACTTCAGCAACAGGCCAAGGCCAAAGCATGGGAAGAGGAACAGAAACGCAAGCTGCAGGCCCTTCCACTCATCGCCGTCGGCTGCTTCTTTGAGCACTCGCCCAGCCCTTCCATGAGTGGTGATGTGAGGCTGCTGTATGAGTTCAGGGTGAGCGAGACTTGGGACAGTGTTACATATCTTGATTGTTGCAGGTGGAAGTTTTACCAAAGATACTAAATAACAAGATGGACCACTCAGCCAAAAAAGTGTCCGCGGGAAGTATGCTCTTTGCTTCAGATGGCGCTGCAGTCTGCTTTGAAGCTCTCTTTCATTTTTCCAGAAGAAGAATAGGAATAGCACCTCCTTGCGTGCGCAGATCGACTGCTGTTCATCAGTAGTTCGGGTTCGTTCAGTGCAGAGTTTTATGTTATTTATATTTTAATGACCTCTCGCCTTTCATTCTAAAGTCAAATTAAACGAAGAAAACAATCACCCTTTCCTCCGGAAGAGGTTTTTTGTCAGCGTAACCATTTTAAGGGGAGGTGGCTAATGAAAATGCCAAAACTCAGTTCCAACCATTTTTTAGCCACTTTGTATGCATAAAAAAAAAGAGGTTTTGTGAAATAAAAAATTCATTTATTATTTTTTTTGTTCTTGTGGCGGCAAAAAATGGCGCTGATTCAGCAAAATTTCTTTATACTTTATAAACAGTGTTTCTACAAAACCAATAAAGATAGAAGCTTCATACTTGGTATACTTGGTATATATGCTATAAATTGCTTGCTTCTCCTCCTTACAGAATCAGATTTCAAATATCTATCATACGTTTTCCAAATTTTACCCTCACTTTGACCAATGTTCAGAATTCCATATTAGGCGATGCTGAAACACAAAAATGCCAAATAACTCAAAACAGAATCAATATTCAGGAAAAAAGCTCTTGTAAGGAAGAGGGCACTTATCATGGGAATAATGTGTGAAAATTTCAATGAAATCTGACTGTTAGTTATTGAGATACACTTTCTATAAAGTTACCAGTTAGCCAAAAATGCAATTTCGAGAAAAACGCAAATTTTTCGAAACATTGTGCAATCACAAACATCTCAGTTTTCACTAAAATCTAACATTATTCAGCAACATACACCATGTTGACACAGCGCAGGCCATTTAAAAAGCTTTTTTGACAAGTTTTTACATCAATTCCATGCCCCCCCCCCCCCCCCCCCCCAACTGTCCTCTCATAATTGAATCTCCGCCCCAAGAATGTAAATTCTCATTTGTCTTTCAGTTTCTGTTCTTAAATGGGAGAAGAAGCAAAAATACCTATGTAAGGTAATAGGACATTCAAGGGCTTGTGTGAAAATTTCAACCAACTCTGACTGTAACTTTCTGAGATCTAATCAAAATAGTGCAGCAGATTTGGCAGAAAAGTCATCATTCCGAGAAAAACGAGAATAAAGATTGTGCATGCTGACATGCCCGTCTAAATTTATATGTTAATGTTGCCATACTGAATTGTTTAGGTAAATTGAGTTTGTTGTTAGTCTTTTCCACATTAAAAAAATCTTTAAATGATTTGGCAGGTGACTGCCTTTCTTAGAATTAGAAGAGTCGAGATTTTGTCGAGCCCCCCCCCAAAAAAGCTGCCACCTCCCCTTCATTTTCTTCCCATGTGTTTTGGTTTTGCAATGGTGGAATCTAAGACTAAGCAACTAAGAAAGGCACAGTAAGCTGGCACTACATGATACTATCTAGATCTGTATATTTTCTCAATTTATTTTATCCTATAATATATATTTCTGCAGTCGCTTCTTTCAATCTTGTTGAAGGGGTTAACCGGCTTTGGGAACACTGGTCTCCGATTTTTAAAAACCCAATAATAATAAAGTAAAAAAATTGTTTTAAATAACACTAGGCCTTAGAGATTTCTATAGCTAGATCTACGCTAAACAGACTTGTTCACTGCGAACAGCCGGAGAGGCTAGGGAAGCCATCAAAACAAATTTATCCTAGATCTAGGTCTAGATCTAGATTCTAATTCTATAACTTTGTCGGTCGGTCGAGCGCAACGTAGATCTAGATTTGTAGATCTATACTTTGAATACCCCAGCCACATAATCATGGAAAGTACTGAAGGCTATTATGTATTATTATACGTATAATCTCAACAGTTTAGATCCTGGGTTAGCTCACTCAAAACAACTAAGACTAAGACATCGAATCGAATCACGATCAGATAGACAGACGAGAGAAGAAGAAAATAAATAGGAAGGAGCATGTGTTCGATATTTAGTGAAACTAAAAGTATAACTCGGTATTCTCTCTTATCTCTCAGGGAGTTATCCTGGCTCCGGTAGTGCCAATACCGACCAACCAGAACACTAGTGCAGAGAGTGAAGAGCCCTGTTTGGAGCAAGAGGGATCGACCCCAGCTTCTAAAGGTAGAGAGAAGATGGCTGTGCCAGACGATGGTAAGTGGTCCATTGGGGGATTTTTGTGGGTTTAAAAATTTTTTTTTCTGGAATGTTTTATATGGGGGTCAGAGTTTTGTGTGTCTCGGGAGTTATGGTTTCCCCCCCCCCCTCGAACAAATAGTTGGCTACAGACTACTGTGGTTTATTCCTCTGCACGATAAAAAAGACCCATTTTGGAAAATGCAGTTGGGCACAGATAACTGAAATGTGTTAAGGGATTGACAAATGTGTTTTACCCATCCATAAATTGGTGTAAACAGATGAAATGAAAAATCAGAAATAATTGAAGAAAATCAACAAAATTGACAGTACGATGGTCAGAAAATAAATCACTTGAGCTGTTGTGTCATAGCAGATTGATGTGTTCCTTTTTAAAACTTATCCAACCATCTTATGTTGCATATGAACCAAGGCCAAGTTCCTTTGCGATTTTGTCTGCTTTTGTCATTAGAATGAGACCAGAGATAGGAAGAGGCATGGCTTGTGCTTGCTGGAACCATTGAAACAATGCCAGCACAATGTTGTCAAATTTTGTAAAGCTTGCTCGCTTTCTGTCAAGACACTTGTGAGGAAGAAGTTGATCAGGTTTCTCTAGGAGAGCTGTTTAGCAAATCCGTACGGATATTTGAGAAAACAGTATTGCCCAAATAAAGAAAAAATAGTGGTTCAGTTGGGGAATAGCATTGCATTGTACAAATTGTCTGTGATCTCGCATCTTGTGTGTTTGTGTTATCTGTGCCCATCTGTGTATGAATTATTACAGATTAGATCGTCCAGGAAACATGAGAATTGAAATAACCTGTGACTTATTTAATTCAATACCAACATACACGTTTCGTTTTGTAGGTGGTTGGCGGGTTTTCTGGTGTGATTTGCTTCTTCTTTCCTATGAAACATCTATTGTCCTTATCTCCCCTCCTTTTTTGTGTTTTGTTACTCTCTTGTAACACCTCTTATCTTCGGCACTTATATGACCTTATTGTGTTGCAAGTGCAGTAAAAGTAAATTTACTAAACTAAAACTAAACATTTCGGTTTTTTTCTTTTCAGCTATGCCAGATCTGATTCACTTGTTGCATGGGAACACTTGCGGGATCAAGCGACTTGTGCGAGAGTTTCGTGTATTCTGGATGAAGAAAAATAACCAACAGTCTGCCGACACTGATGAAACAATGAATGAGTCTGCAACTGAAAATGCAGATGTGTCTGTCCTGAGCGACTCTGTTGCCGATGTGTGTGCAGATAATGAAGATAAAGAAATGTCTGATAAACCTGGGGACAAAGAGGGTGTGTCACAGCCAAAGAGGGAGGAAGGATATGGCTGCAGTATTTCCAAGAGGCAACTGGAGATAAAAATTATGAGCATTGCTGTGAGGGAGAAGCGGCCAGGGAGCAAGATCTGCTGGTATGTTAATGATGATGTGCTGGCGCAATATGCCATGACAGATATAACGTTGCCAAATATGTGGGTCTTTTTGACCACTGGTCCAACCAAATCATCCCCCACACCAAATCTGAATAAAAGTTTAAATACCTCAAAGAGTGATGCACCTGAAGTTTGTGAGGAGGAGAAAAACAAAACTCCATTCAAACCTTCTAATGATCAAAAGTCAATAATGGCTTTTACTATGTCCAAAGAAGAGCTGGAGAAACGTGCTAGCATGAAGCAAAAACAGGTTGGATCTGACAGTGGTTGTGAGAGTAAGGCAGCATCTCCTGTGCGCCCATGTAGTGTGGTTCTGAAACAACTTGACTCTGGTGTGACTAGTCAAGCTGCAGACAATAAGAGGCCCTCTGTGGCAAACGACGCTTCTGTTCACAGCCTGAATGGTTTGCCTCAATCTCAGGGACCCTCGGCGGAAAAGAAGCCGAAAATGTCCATTATGGAAATGTTTCTGAAGAAACCATCCTCAAGCAAGAAAAAGCTGGAGAAGTCTTTTCCTGACGCACAGCAAATAGGTGAGAACAAGGCTGACTCTGATGTTGAAATCATCGAGGAATGTGCCGCGAAAGTCATGTCCGAAGCCACTGTGCCAAGTGGTAGAGAGTCTGCTGTGCAGGGCCCAACAGAGCAGGAACCAGGTGCTGGGAGTAGTCAGCAGGAACCTGGGGCTGGGAGTGGTCAGAAGGATCCAGGTCGTGCAGATGATAAAGCCACGACTGCCGCCGTAAAGTCTGTGAAAGAGGAAGAGTTGATGGAGGTAGATTCCCCTGATGTTGTTCCACAGTCTGATCGTAAGGACAACTTGGAGCAGCAGGCCATGGAGGTGGTTTCTTGCACCCCTGTTTCTCAAGGGGAGCTTGTGGCATCGGTTGCTCAAGCTGGGGATGTTACGAGCAAGAATGCTGTACAGTCTGCTGATGTTATAGTGTTGGATTAGGGCAGGAGGGGGGTGTTTATTAGGTTGTCTCAGGCCTATACTGTAATAATTTTGGTAATTTGTTTTTGTAGATTGTGATGTAAATACTTTTGACAAGCTTATATACGTTAAAAAGAAAATAGGGGATACGGGATTTGTGGTGTTAGAGAATAATTTATTGTTATGATTTCGTTTCGAAATCATGTATGGACTTCCAAGCATTTCTTGTTCTAACTGTCTAGATTTGTAGGCATAGAAAGTATTATCAATGTATATGTATGAAGCCCTGCAACATTTGATCGCTGAATGGAAGTGGGTAATTATGGGAAAACTCAATAACCATATTATTCCCTGGCCTCATGTTTTTATTGCAGGATTTTTTATTTGTAACTCGTGTTTTGGCAGGTCGGCCCATGCTTCAATAGTGTCCGCTTAACAGCAACTCTCTTGGGAGTCAGAAACTTTGGTTGCTCTTTAGGAAGGTTGCTGCTGACTGAATTTACCAAAGGGGGGTAATCTGCACTGACACACATGCACATACATACGCGCACACACATGCTTACACAGCAGTCCTAATTCCAAGATGTGGGGGTGTTGTTAGTTGGAAAGTGAGAACATAGGTAGTGACAGACGTTCCCCCAGAGCCTGTCCTTTTCAGTGAATCTGACAGGGCGGTAATGTCACGCCAAGTAGCCAAAACTTTCCTCCTACATTGGAGACTCTTGAACGGAGATACCTCTTGGTGGGAGAAACTGAACTGTACTCCAGTTGTGTAGTGTTTGGCCCAAGTAAGTGTTGGGAGAAGATTGGCTACAGAAGAGATGCACACTCGCTGAAGAATTGTCAAAAAATACACTGCTTTTTCATTTAGACAGTTTATAGTTATAGCAACAATGGTTACTGTTTAAAGGGGCTATTTATATATATATATAGGAACATTCCATTACACAAGCTTAGGTTGCTGTTAGGCGGTTGCTCTTATTTGGATAGTTGTTAACACACCCGCCAAGTACTCCAATAAAATCGGAGCTCTCCAATTTTTTTTTAGCCCGTTGAAGAACCCCGATAGGAATTACATAAAATCTGACTTTATTTCTTGAACTCTTTCTGTCAGGGCATATGCAACTGACAGTAAATGACATGAAAATACACACTTACCGTTGCTTGTATTTCCAACACACATTTATTTGTCATGGTTGTTTTTTTTTATGTAATCATTAATTTACTGGGGTTCTGGAGACTACTGACTTTTCCCCCCCAGCTCGTATTTTTTTGAAGGATTCTAAAAAAAAAAAAGATGTTTTTGGCGATGGAGTGGTTGGCAGGTCTGTGTTAAGTGGACACCATTGCATTTCTCTGTTTTGACAAATAGTTTGTGATATTAGGATCAGCTATCATTTTTGACGATGAGTTGTTGTGTCTTCGGTAAAATGTTCACTTGTCATATATTCATCGTTTCATAATGAGACCTGTTTTCTAGAGCCAGTGATAATGATGATGTTGGATAGAATAATACATTGAGGTGATCGGATCATCTGTAGATGGTTGCAACCATGTCTTGTTGAAAATTTCTGAAATAAGGAAGGTTTCCAGCTATCACCATCATTCATTAATGGCTGTTGTCCCCTTTTGTGTGCAGGGGTCATTTTTTATTTTCTTACGGCCCTCTGTTAGTTTAGGATATAGTATTGTTTTTAAAAATTCCTGAATGGAAAAGGTTTTCCTTACTGTAGACTTTATCCTCGTGTGCAGCCTTTGACTCCTTCGGGCTGTGCCACTGTTACATCACTTTTTGTAATTGTGCTTCCGGTTCCCCTTTCCTATTTACTTAAAGTGGCTGTATTGTACAGACTTCAACTAAAGTTAAGGACCCCCTTGACAGACAGTCTCCCCCCCCCCCCCAAACGACAGCAAGGATTGTTTCAAAATTTTTGCTCTGAAAGTGTTAATGGGTTACCAACGCCTACTGCAAAGCCTCCTAAAGGACCAAAACCACCAGGTGCAACACAGAAATCCTCTGGGAATTTTAGCCAAATTTGCTTTTTTTTTAATCGACTTGTGTGCGACACCACGGACATTCCTCGGTTAAAATTTCGGGTGTACGTCATAAACGGACGTACGGTCTCGAACTATGCTCACTTTGGTGGCAATATAAGCCGCCATTTGCACAAAGTCCAGTATCACATCAACATGATACCACCAAGACGAAAGCTGAGAGACTTTGATTGTGCCAGAGCTATGGCATGGCTGCAGGATGGAGTTGGAGCCCGAGAAGTTGCCAGAACGCTTGCAGTGTCACACTCAGTCATTGTCCGCTTGAGGCAGTGCCATCACGCCACTGGATCAGTCCAAGAACGCCCACATGCTGGTCGACCCAAGAAGAGTGTTTGCAAGTGGTCCTTAACTTATGTTGAAGTCTATCTATTGTTTATCCTTTTTCATACAGTGTTCTAAACATTTAGTTTTTAAAACCCAGAGAAACCTTTTCCTTCTTAATTCTAGTAATGGTGTTATGTTGTACACACAACAAACCCCCTGTCATGGAAAGACCAAAATGAAAATGTGGGTGGTTTGATGTAATTGGCACAGATTACTACGCTGTTAATGTAAAAACAATTTGTTTCTTATTATGTCCTTGTGTCTTTCCTGTTACATTGTTTCTTTGCTCTAGACTCTTAAAAAGTAAAATCAGATTTTGTTCATCAAAACAATTTCTTATGTTATTACTAAAAAAAATTATCTCCTGTTGTCGCTAAATTGTGTTTACACTACGATTTACTTTTTAGACTTACGTGTAATTTGAAAAATGAGCCATATGCATGGTTGGAGGACAGCCTTGGTAGGCCAAGCTTTCCTTTCCCTCTATTGTTTCTGTCTTGCTACTGTCCTTCGATGTGCATCTCTTTACTCAAACCAACTTGTGACCCTTAATTTGGAGAGGTTTGAAAATTAAATGTTTGGGATTTTATTTATACAGCTGTTTCTTTTTTGCATTTGAATTCATAAACATGTCGATACAAAAATTAGCTGACTTTGCATGTACATATGATGTTGCAAGAACTCACAAAAAACAAAAAGGATCTTTAAAGGTTTTCCGTACGGTGGAGTCTGAGGATACGGAAAAGACATTAAATATCTTAGTTTTATGTCTACTTTGAGCCAAGCTCATATTGTAATGACCATAAATTACAGCCCACCCAAATCTTTGGCTAAGCTCTGTTAAATTAAACATACTTTCTGGAGATCAATCCTAATAATAATATATGTCAATTTTTCCACATTCAGTAGGAGCAGACTGAATGATTTGGCACTTCTGGTTTTCTAACTTCTTATACTTGAAAAGACTTATTTGATGAGATCTTGTTTTTTTTTTGTTTTTGTAAAGTGTTTTACGGCACTCGCAACTGCATAGATCATAAGAGCGCGCGGGACACTCCTAATATTTTCAGTTGGTAGGAAATTTTGAATTTTGCCCGGGTGGCGGCCGAAGCCTACTTTTATCGATTTTAGACCACCAAGGGATCTTTAATGTGCGCAACTTGCGCACGGGCCCTCCGAGATTTTTCGCCCTTGTCCGAGAAGGGTAGGTGTAGATCTTTCCTACCGGAAGATCAGGGGTGTGGCAGAAAGACAGCAGTAAGGAGGAGCCATGGAGTAGCAGTAGAAAGGCTGCAGAAAGAGTCAGGAGCCCAGAGGAGGGGGCAAAGGAGGTGAGGGGGTGGGGGCAGAAAGTGGAAATGAAAGCAGACAACAGAACATTGCTAGAGAGCAGGAAAGGAGGTGAAAGACAATTTAAGAGAAGAAAATTTTTTGGTCGCTACCCAGATTTGAACCCGGGACCTTTGAATGAGAGGCCAACACCTTAACCTCTAGGCCACGAGAGCCCCTTGATGAGATCTAAATGAATGAAACTGATCAGTATCTGATTTGTGCACTGCTAGAAATACGTACTGGTTTGTATCCATGGAGTATTGAAACTCCTGCCACCGATTATAGTTATAAGTATAGCATCTCAAAGTGAGGATTAGATTGAAAACTTAGCCACGGTGTAAGATTCTAAATTGTATTTTCAGATTCCATGTCTGACTTTTTTCGGTTTGAATTACTATCTCTGATCTTTTGTACATGTGTACATATTTTCACTTTTAATTAGTGTTCCGTGTTTCATGTACTATTATTTTTTTTCAAGCGCCATGCCATACATGATCCCAGTGTTAATTAAAAATGAAAACCCTCATAAATAGAATTTGTGAGGTTGATTGTGAAACTCTTGTGAAACTATTTGTGCTATTGTTGTATAGAATGTTATTGACTCAGAGCTGAGCTGGTGGTTGGTATGGCATGCCTGCTGCGCTTCATGAACCTATCAATTAAATGCTGCTCGCTTTTGACTATTGTCTCTAAATTTCATTCGACTACATATACTTATAAATGCAAAGTTTCCCACAGAATGTCATTCTCCTCGCAAGTTGCTTCATCTGCCAATGGATGGATAACTATCCCTCCTCCCGGTGTAAAGACTTGCTGTTAATGTTAGACTAGATCTATATCAGTGAGGTTTCTTTTTTAAATGACATACAAACAAGTCATACACACTGTATACCTAAGACAGGCTGGTTGCTTCCATCTATTCATATTGCCATCTTAGAACCAGTCTTCATGCGTTGCCACTTTCAGTCATTGTGTGTATGTCAGTGCTTGTCAGCCTGTTTATAGCCATCTTTATGAGGTTGCAATTTTTGTGCTGCCTACTTGCTTGCATTTCCTAAACGGGGCATTAAATTATTTAAATGATGCCTCTGTCACTATCTGGGTAATCCCCACAGCCTACCAAAATTACCAATTGCCCACTTGTGGGCAGGATTGCCCTGGTTGGCATGCACTGATGTTTGTGTTTCTCTCATCTCACTTCAACTTCAACCAACTTGTTATTATTCGTTATATATTGTACTATGTTCTTTGGGTCCTTTAAACTGTACTCATCTGTTGCGCTGCTCTTTTTGTCTTCTTGTGATCTCTAAATGTCCGTAATGTTTATTTTGTCCTGTTAAATGTATGCTCCTGTCTGTCCACTTTTACACAATGTAGAGTCAGAGTGTCAATAGTGTCATTATTTTAATTACTTTTGTAATTTATCGTAAAGTTGTATCACAGACATAAATTGTTTTGCTGTATAAGTGTTTATATGTAATATGTAAAGACAAATATAGGTAAGGGTGGTGACTTGCTCTCTGTCCCGTTTGATCTACTTTGGATTTTATCTGTGTTGATATGCATCATTTGTCTTGATTGTTTGGTGGTTGGCTGAAAGGCACCTCTGCCACTAGTAGCTCCTACTTCTTTTCTTTGCCTTCTGTTGCTCAGTTTTTCTTGCTTTTTCTCAGCTCTAATAAAAACTGTTGTGTCAATATTCTTCTCTTAACTTAGACAAATGAGAAAACACCTCAGGCAAGGCACACTGTCTTCCTATCACACCATTTTCATTTCTGTCTTGCTTTTCTCTTTTCTGTTGGTGTGCTTTAGAATAGAAAATGAATCCCAGTCCCCTTATGATAAAAGTTTGTTAATATTTAAATGCTGTACAAAGATACCATAAATATTTCATATACTTGTTTGCATATACTGTAGTCTCATTGAAATAAACACGTCAGCCAGCTGTATAAATGTAGAAAGCCCGAACTAAAGTTTTTTTAGGGCTTTTTTTATTTTAAATTGCCGTTTCTTAAATTTGTGGTATCATTTGCATGTTCTCTAGAAACATTTTGTCAGATTCAGATTCTAAATGATGAGAAAAAAAAGCCAGAACCCCCC